AATGTGGGACACCCCATGGGAACAGGGTGCATGATGCTCCTGGGAGGGGAATTTGACTGTATTTTAGAATCAATTTTGTGTATTTGATTATATTCCTCAATTCCCATCCTGGACCTGGGCAGCCTCCACTCATCCTTTCCACCAGCATCTCTTTGCACAGGGATTTTGGGATGTTATTCCTGAAGAGTTTCCCCCCTCCTCAGTGTCTCTCACCTTCATCATTTACCTCAAGATCTCCTTTTTTTTCTACCCCAACATCCTAACGTGCAGATCCCCTTTTATCATGGAATCATGGAATGGTTTGGGTTGGAAGGGACCTTCAAGACCGTCCAACCCCCTGCATGGGCAGGGACACCTCCCAGCAGCCCAGGCTGCTCCAAGCCCCATCCAACCTGCCCTTCAACACCCCCAGGGATGGGGCAGCCACAGCTTCCCTGGGCAACCTGGGCCAGGCTCTCCCCACCCTCACACCAAAGAATTCCCTCCTCATCTCCAACCCCCATCTCCCTCTCCCAGTTTTAAGCCATTCCTCCTTGTCCCATCACCACAAGCCCTTGCAAACCCTCTCATCTTCTGCAGTGGTAGCCCAGGTTGAAACCTGAACATTGCTCAGGAGGTAAAAAGACACCTGCAATGTCCTGGATTTTTGCTTTTTGGCACAGTTGGTCCATGCTGGCCTGGATCCCACCTAAGGCAAATTCAATTCCGTGGGAAGACATCCCAACAAGCACAGGAGGAATTTGAGAAGGGGGAATCCTGCAGGGTTTTGTTCAGTGCTGGAGCTGAGATGTTTAGCTCCATCCAACCAGCACCTGGTCTAACTTGCTCCTAGATTTCTTCATTCCCATCCTGAATAACAGGCAAAAACTTTGCAGGGTGAATTCATTCAGGCCTGCAGTGAAACACCAGTTGTCTTCTTCTCACACACCATCCCCATGGCTGCTGCTCTCTTTTCAGGTGGATCAAATTTGAAGAAAAGGTGGAGGAAGGAGGGGAAAGGTGGAGCAAGCCCCACGTGTCCACCTTGTCCTTGCACAGCCTCTTTGAGCTACGGACGTGTCTACAGACAGGAACGGTGCTCCTGGACTTAGATGGCTACTCTTTGCCCCAGATCATAGGTATGAGCAGGTGTCAGTGCTTTCCAGTGGGTTTTTCCTGGCGTCCTGAAGTTCTGGGAACAGATTTTAAGGCATTTATTTTGGAATAAGCCAAGACAGGAATTGAGACCCATCAGCTTGGTCCAGTAATGGTTGTCTTGAGGTTTCTGGGAGGGTTGGTAGCGAGGTGACCCAAGCAGTGGGCTGACCCAAGCAGTGGGGTGACCCATCCACTTCCCTTGTTTGGTGCTTGCAGATGATGTGATTGAGAAGCAGGTGGAGGATGGTCTGCTCAAGCCAGAGCTGCGGGAGAAGATCAGCTACGTGCTCCTCAGGAAGCACCGTCACCAAACCAAGAAGCCAATCCACCGGTCCTTGGCCGACATCGGCAAGTCCGTCTCCTCCAACACAGGTGAGTCCTTGGGGTCCCACCAACCCCCACTTGCATCCTGGAGTCTTTGGTGAACATGCCTGCTGGGGGGAAGATCTGAGGAGAAGGAAATGGGGAAACTCAACCATTTGGGGCACCCAACTATTTAATACATCAAGGAAGACCCCAAAACCTCTGCCACTGGTGGCTTTAAGAGAACCAGAAACCAAAGAGATACCTCCTGAGATGGACAATGGTGTGGTGTGAGGGACAAAAGTGTTGTGTGAGGGCCAGTGGCATTTAGTGAGGTCCTGTGACATTGTGTGAGGTCCTGTGACGTTGTGAGGGCCAGCAACGTTGCATGAGGGACAACAAGGTGTGATGGACAATGATGTTGTGTGAGGGACAAGAACGTTGTGTGAGGGCCAAATATGATGTGTGAGGGCCAACAACGTTGCGTGAGGAACAATGGCGTTGGCAGTCACTTGGCCAAGGGGCTTTCTGGCAGAGCAGCCTACAGACAAATCCAGTCTGCTCCGTGGTTGAACCTGCCTATTTTTGAGCCTTTATAAAAGGGGATTTGTTTTCCCACCAGATTATTTACTTGGGTTTAACCAGAGGTCATTTGGTGGAGCCTGGGATTTGCCGGGCTTGGCTGCTCCCCAGGTAGACAGAAGTAGAAGTGCCCAAGCTCCAAGTGCAGATGGAAGAGGCCACCAATAAGTGATGTTCCCATCCCAACAGCAACTCCATGGTACTGGAATAAACACACATGGAAAACAGAGTCAAGCCCAGTGGGGATTTCATCATTATTTTTAGAGAGTCTAACAACAAAAAAAGGGAGCACAGATGCGGTGGTTGCAGCTGGAGTCTCAGATGCTCAAGCAGCTCCACAAAACAGGTCCAGGTGTTTTTTCCCAAGGAAAACTCGGGTTTGGGAATTCAGGTGAGAAGGTGCTGGGCTCAACACAGGCAATGCAGGGAGATTTTTGGAGTGAAATCATTCAGTTTCAATGTTGAACATGAAAAACGGGACCTTGCACTGGTTTAGGGAGGAGAAATGTTCCTGTGAAACATTCAAGGTGAAAGTTGGTGGTGGCCAAGGTAAATATTTGGAGGTGTGAAGTTCATGGGAAGCTTCAAACATAGGTTTCTTGGGAGAATTAAATGAAAAAGCCAAATAAAGTGTTGGGTCTTCCTGAGTAATAGAAATTGCATTTCTGAACCTGTTTGTAGAGCATTGGTGGGGCAGGGGGTGGTGCAGGCTCCTTGCTTGGAGCTTCTGCAGGGAGGGGAGACTTGGGTTAAGGTATTTGATTCTTTGCTAATGGGGAAATCATCCTGGGTGGGAGAAAATGGGCCTTTGAGCAACCTGGTCTGGTGGGGGGGCCCTTGCCCATGCGGGGGGTTGGATCTAGATGATCTTTAAAGTCCCTTCCCACCCAAACCATCCCATCATTCTATGAAGCATCCGTGGCTTATAGGGAATAAACCTTCCTTCCAAAGACCTGTAGTCGAGGGGGCTAAAGAGTTAGTAGAAAACATGCAGCTTGTGCTGAAAGTGCCCTGATTGTCCCCATGCCCTGACTGTCCCCATGTCCCAACACCCTGAGGTCCCCAACCTCTCTGAGGTCTCTTCCAACCCAACCCAGTCTTGTGATTCTGCGAGAAGCACAAACAGGAGGGCAAAGCAACTTGGGGTAGATCAGCACTGGAAGGGTCAGGTCTGGTTTTCAGATCAGCCTCTTGCCTTCAGCATCACCCCAGGGTTCTCCATGACAATTGCATCCCCCCTTTGACTGGGTGACCTCAGAGGTCCTTCCCAGTGGCTGTGGTTGATGCTGTGGTTCCTCTCCCCAGCCAGCAGCCCTGGCCGGGGCGCGGCCGCCGGCGCCGCCTTCCACCGCTCCACCGAGGACCTGCGGATGCGGCAGAGCACGCCCCGGCCCGCGCCCGGGGCGGGGGCGCGCCCGCCGGCGCCGCCTTCCACCGCTCCACCGAGGACCTGCGGATGCGGCAGAGCACCAGCTACGGCCGCCTGCGTAAGCCAGGAGGAAGAGACCATCCTCAAAAGACAAAGCAGGGGGAGGGGAGGGGAAATCAAATCACCATCCAGGTGGGCAACCATCTGTCGCCACCAGGGGGTCACACCCTAGCCAGAAACCAGACATGGTTCGTGTCACCGCCGGGTGACAAATTGTAGAACTCGGATTTGTGGGTTTTCTCCTTGTTTCTCTCACTTTGCAAGCCCAGCTGTGATAAATAATGATTTTTCTAATTTGGGTTGAAGTTCTCCTGATGGGTTTTTGACTTGCACGTGGGGCTGAAATGGGGCTGAGCATCAGGGGGTGGTTTCCTCACCTTCTCTCTCTCACCTCTATCATCAGGTCACGCGCAGAGTCGGAGCATGAACGACATCTCGGACACGCCAAGCACTGACCAGGTAATCACCCCAAAACCCATCAGTGTGAGGCTGTGGGGAACATCTCCAGCATGGCCTGTAGTGGTGGGGCAGGTCCTCTGTGGTCGTTAAGGTCCATGTGAGCCTGGTGTGGTGCCACTCGGTCGATAATTCCTAATTAAGGGAATTAATAGGTGTATTGATCCTTGCTCACTGGTGGGGAAGCTGGCCCAGAAATAACACCTGTGCTTGCAAGCAGGAGCAGGGACACAAGAGGGACTTGATGGGGCTGAGATCCTGAAGAGTGGAAGAAAAATATTCCTTAAAATCTTTAGGTAGGAAAGGAAAAGTGCTTGGAAGAGTGCAGGGATCTGAAAGGAGCTCTGTCTTGGCTGGGTGGGGCAGGTGGCAGGGGGTAAATCCCACCCAAGCACTTGGGTCTGCACATGGAGATAATGGTCTGTAGAAGCAGAGGTGGGTCCTGTCTTTTCTTCATGATGGACTTGGGTTTCTTCATGCAAAGCTCATCCAAGAGTCCATTGAGGGCTTTTCCTTCCTTGGTTTGCTTTGCAAGGGAAGGAGGTCAGGCTGCTCCAGCAGCCCCTGGACAGATCTCAGGAGGGGTTTGTGCCATTTTTTTGCTGGAGCATGGAATGGTTTTGGTTGGAAAAGACCTTGGAGTCCAACCATGGGTGTCCCATCGCCAGCACTGGGAACTGTTGATGCATTTGATGGGACTTTGCTTTACTCCTGTTTCTCCCTGATTTCAGGATAAACCTACAGGAAAATGAGACCCAATGGGGGTTTGTCCAGGATAACAACTTGTTTTTCCCTCGGGATGTCCTCACTGGGCTTCCCTGGGATGATATGATGTAAGGGGAAGTCAAGGATGGGAATTAAGGTGTTTCTGGGAATCATGAGAGAAGGATACCACCATATCCACCTCCAAACTGAGAGCTGCAGTGCAGTCAACCCCAAGCAGCAGGGTAAACCCAACCGAAGGGTTAATCCCAAAATATGCAAAGCATTTAGGTTTAATCGCCCTATTAGACCCACTACAAAGGGACTTTTTAAGTGTTACACTAAGCTTAAGTGCCCACTGTTAACTCCTCTTGCTGATTCCAAGCTGGGAGGTGGTGGAGAAGTTGCTTTCTTATTATTATTCTTATTATTATTCTTATTTAGGGGCTTATATATTTATTTATTCTCTTTTTTTTTCCATTTGGGTTTTAAAAGATTAGGAAGGGGAGAGTTTGCTGCCCAGCTCACATGCCTCCCCTCATGCTGCTCTATAGATTAGAATAACACCCTGCCTGGGTTGGTATTGAACCCTTGTAGACTCAATAATGAAAGAGCTGCAGGGGAGAAGAGACCCTGGGGCAATAAATCCATGAGCAAGGTCTCCTACTTCCATGATTTGTTCCTGCTCCGAGGTTGAAACTGTGGGAGGAACCAGCTACAATAAAACATCCCCCCGTTTGGTCTCGGGGCTGCAAATTGACTTTGTGTCTGTGAAAATGGGTGTTGGTTCACTCCAGGGTCCCTGGTTGGTGTTTTTTGGCCCAGGTTTTCTGCAGGGCTTTGCTCTGCAGACCCCAGGTTGCAAACCAGCCGGTTTGCACGGTGGGTCAGGGGGGCCTTGGTGTGTGGTTTCAAGTTCATGTTGGGTTTAGTGATGGGTTTGAGTAATGAAGAACTTGAGTTTTATGAATTCTTGCTCGTTTCTTGGATGTGGCTCTTGAATCTCCATCTCCAGGAGTCCTGGGACCATCAGAAATGAAGAGGTGGCTTCAGCTTTTGCATTTGGGGTGTGAAAAAGGGGGGAGAACTGAATTTTGGCAACCACTCCCTTCCCTGCCCTTGTCTTTCCAACAGCTGAAGAATAAGTTCATCAAGAAGATCCCCAAGGATGCAGAGGCCTCCAATGTACTGGTGGGAGAAGTGGAGTTCCTGGAGAAACCCTTCGTAGCTTTCGTGCGGCTTCTCCAGGCAACCATGCTGGGAGGAGTGACAGAGGTGCCCGTCCCCACCAGGTGAGCACAATTCCTTTGGGTCCAAAGCCCCAAATGGTCTCATGAGATGGATACCAGTGGTCCAAGGTTGCCAACAGGCCATCTTTCCCTTCCCAGGTTCCTCTTTATTCTCCTGGGTCCTGCAGGAAAAGCCAAATCCTACAACGAGATCGGCAGAGCCATCGCGACCCTCATGGTGGACGATGTAAGTAGGTGTTCCAGCCCTCACCAGGAAATCCCTTGCTCAGATCCAAGGAAGAAAAGGTCCTTTTTCTCCTATCACCCAAAGAAATGACCTTCAAAATCCCATAAGGACGTGGGACTCATGTGGTGGGCGCTGTTCCCAGGCTACACCTCTTCTCTCTCCACCCCCAGCTCTTCAGCGACGTTGCCTACAAAGCCCGGGACAGAGAAGACCTGATTGCTGGCATAGATGAGTTTCTGGATGAGGTCATTGTCCTGCCACCCGGCGAGTGGGACCCCAACATCAGGATTGAGCCACCCAAAAAAGTGCCCTCAGCTGAGAAGAGGTGGGTGGGAGATGTGGGGCTGGTCCCAGACCTCTGGCCATCCTTGGTTTGGAGATGCTGGAGGAGGTCAGCAGCTTGGCTTGCCTTCATCCCTAGAAAGAACCACAGAATTGTTCTGGTTGGAAAAGACCTTAAAGATCATCTAGTCCAACTCTTAACCCAACTCTGCCAACCATTAACCAAACTCTACCAAGTCCTGTGCTATCCCATGTCCCTCAGCACCACATCTACATGGCCTTCAAACACTTCCAGGGGTGGGGATTCAACCACCTCCCTGGGCAGCCTGGGCCAGGGCCTCAGAACCCTTGCCATGGAGAAACTGTTCTCAAGATCCAACCTAAACCCCCCTGGGCAACTTGAGGCCATTTCCTCTTGTCCCATCACTTGTTCCTGGGGAGCAGAGACCAACCCCTCCTGGCTCCAACCTCCTCTCAGGCAGTTGCAGAGCAGAAGGTCTCCCCTCAGCCTCCTTCTCTCCAGCCTGGACACCCCCAGTTCCCTCACCCACTCCCCAGAAGACATGTGCTCCAGACCCTTCTCCTTGTGTTCCAGACCTTCTCCTTGTGCTCCAGACCCTTCCCAAGCTCTGTTGCCCTTCTCTGGACACGCTCCAACCCCTCAATGTCCCTTTCCTGACCCAAAACTGACCCCAGGGTTTGAGGTGTGGCCTCACCAGTGCCCAGCACAGGGGGAACTGTCAACCTACAGCGACTGTGTCCAGCAGCCAAGTTCCTCCAAGAAGCAGAATATGAAGACAGGATCCATTAAGAGTGCAGTTAAAAATGTCTTCTTTTGGAGTTATTTGGGGTTCTGGATGGTCCTTTTCATGCCTATCTGCATATTTTCTAGAAATGCTGCTTTTTTGGGCAGTTTTTGCCCCCAGATCAGCTCAAAACTGTTTCCACTCTCCAAAAATCTACATTTACCCCTTGGGTTGAGCCAATCCAGCTCTTGATGTTTTCAAATTCCCCCCAAAACACAAACTCTGGTGAAGGTCTTGGTGGTGGTTGCTGCACTAGGACTGCAGGGCAGGTGCTGTGGCTGGTGCCAGTGGTTGACAGGGGGGGTTGAACAGGGGAGGTTGACTCGGGTGGTTGATACGGGTGGTTGATATCGGTAGTTGACATGGAGGGTTGACATGGAGGGTTGACGTTGGGGTTGACGTTGGGGTTGACACGGGTGGTTGACACGGGTGGTTAACATGGGTAGTTGATACGGGTGGCTGACGGGAGGTTGACATGGAGGGTTGACATGGGTGGTTGAACACGGGCTTGACATGGGTGATTGACAGGGGCAGTTGACACGGGGGGTTGATGGATTGCTGACATGGGTGGTTGACAAGGAATTGACATGGGTGGTTCTGCCCCCCAGGAAATCAGTGTTCTCCCTGAACGAGGTGGGGCAGATGAACGGCACGGCCGGGGGCGCGGGCGCCGGGGGCGGCGGAGGCGGCAGCGATGATGGGGAAATGCCTGAAGTTCATGAAATCGGGGAAGAGCTCGCGTGGACTGGCAGGTGAGCAAGCACCTCCCCAGACCCAAAACACTCCAGAAGGTGCCAGCACCAATCAGCATCTCCTGCTGGCTCACCCCGTGGTCTCCTGGAGCACCGAGGGGTGAAATAATTTTGTGTGGCATGGGATCTTGTTTTGGTGGAAGGCACGTGCAACTGATCCTTGGTGGTATCTCCCCCAGGTTTTGTGGTGGCCTCTATTTGGACATCAAAAGGAAGCTGCCCTGGTTCCCGAGTGACTTCTATGAAGGCTTTCATATCCAGTCCATCTCTGCCATCTTGTTCATCTACCTGGGCTGCATCACCAATGCCATCACCTTTGGGGGCTTGCTTGGGGACGCTACGGACAACTACCAGGTTGAGTCCAAGGAGAGGGGGGTGACTTTGGCTTGGGGACAGCAAGAAGGGAGGAGAGGAGATGGAATGGGGTGGGACAGGAAGAGATGGGATGGTACAAGATAGGATGGGGTGGGATGGGTTGGTACAAGATGGGATGGGACAGGATGGGATGGGTTTTACCCACCTTGTGCTATGCCAAGCTTCAATGCTAGGGATGGAAACCCATTGCCAAGTGGGACTGGCAGTCCTGAAACACCTCCAGGATGGGAGGAACCCATCTCGGTGGCAATGGCAAGAGCACAACGATCCTGTGTGGGTCCAAGCAGAGGTCCTGAATTCCCATCTCCATCTGGAGTGTCTGTGGGAACATAAGATGATACAATCATCACCATAACATTGCCTTTGATCCAGGGTGTCATGGAGAGCTTCCTGGGCACGGCGATGGCGGGTTCCATGTTCTGCCTCTTTGCGGGGCAGCCGCTCATCATCCTCAGCAGCACCGGCCCCATCCTCATCTTCGAGAAGCTTCTCTTTGACTTCAGCAAGTAGGTGCTGGGTGATGCTGGGGGGGCAAAGCAGGACCCACCCGTCATGGGGCCCTCATGGGACCACTCCCACCTTGATCCCACTTTTCAGAGGCAATGGCATCGACTACATGGAATTCCGCCTCTGGATCGGCCTCCACTCTGCCTTCCAGTGCCTTATCCTGGTGGCCACCGACGCCAGCTTCATTATAAAGTACATCACCCGCTTCACAGAGGAAGGTTTCTCCACCCTCATCAGCTTCATCTTCATCTACGATGCCATCAAGAAGATGATTGGAGCCTTCAAGTATTATCCCATCAACTCAGACTTCAAGCCAGACTATGTGACCATGTACAAGTGCGAGTGCGTCGCTCCCGACCCAGGTGAGTACACGTCTTCTTCGGCAGGGAAGAGGAAAGGGATGGGGGGTGGTCCCACCATGGATAAATCCCACCAGATCGTTGGCTGAGGACATGGAAGGAGGCAGCTCTCCAGTCAGCGTGAGGTGGAGAGACCTCATGCTCCTCCTCTGAGGGTGATTTTGGGCAAGATGGAAGGAGAGCCTTGTCCCCCGTGGGTGAGCACGTCAGTGCTTGTTGGGACACGGCAGATGGTGCTGAAGAGCTGGGACCTCAGCCTGGAGCAGCCAAACCTGGATGGATAAACAGGAAATATCAGAAAACGAATACATTTTAGATCATTAATTCCAACCTGCTGCTGATGGAAACATTCTCCAGAAGATACACCCAAGGAGTTTTGTCCTTTCCCAGTGTCTGGAACAACCCAGGATGTCCCAGTTGGGTGTAGAAACTTCCTTGGACTGTTTTTCCTCCTTTTTCTTACTCCTTTTCAATAAGGAGATGCCATGGGGCTCCGAGCAGACCACCTTCCCCTGGTTTTGCTCTTGGATGGACCTTCCTGATGATCCCTGCTCCGAATCGCTCAGCTCAGATGCTCCCATGGCCACCTGGGAGGGAGACCTAATGTCAGCCACCACCACCTGCTTTCAGATGAGCTGAATTTATTTTAAAAACCTGAATTCTGACAATTTTGGGGGGTATCAGCTGCAGGCAGAAGGTGCAGGGAGGTGGGATGGTGAAGCTCTCCCAGAAAGAAAAGCATCCAAGACCCACCACGTAAGGTCAAGCTCTCCAAGAAAGAAAAGCATCCAAGACTCAAGGTCTTCTCAGCCCATCTGTCACTGCCAGAAGAGCTCTTCATCTCCCACGATGGAAAGAACATTCATTGGGTTTAATTTTGAAGTTCTTCACTATTTCTGTTGATCGACCTCCTGCCACGCAAGCTGATCCCATGGGATTGCAGAAGTGGGGAAGCACCTGCAACCAGCACAATCTTCTCCCAACCAAAGCCCAAACTTGAGCTGTGGGAAACCCAAGCCTGATGCCCAACGCAACCCCAGGGGGAGCTGAAATATCCCAAAGGGAACTGTGACCATCTCCATCCGCCCACTCAACACCAAGGGAAGGCAAAGCCTTTATCCTCCAGGGAGGTCTTCCCCCTTTTCCAAGCCCCAATCCTGAGCAAATCCCAGGCTGCCTGGAGGCATTGACACCCCAAAAACCTCCACTCTTTGCAACCCAGTAAAGAAGTTCTTCCTCATGTTAAGGTGGAACTTCCTGGGCTGAGTTTGAGTCCATTGCCCCTTGTCTTATCCCAGGGCACAAGTGACAAGAGCTTGTCCCTGCCTTCTTGATGCCCTTGTGTGTTGATAGACATTCATTAGATCCCCCCCCAGTCTTCTCCTCTCCAGACTGAACAGCCCCAGGTCTCTCAGCCTTTCCCTATCAGGCAGATGTTCCAGTCCCTTAATCATCCTTGTAGCCTCTGTTGGACTCTCTCCAGTAGATCCCTGTCCCTCTGGAACTGGGGAGGCAGAACTGGACCCACTACTCCAAGTGAGGTCTCACCAGAGCAGAGGGGGAGGAGAACCTCCCTCAGTCTGCTGAGGACACTCCTCTTAATGCACCCCAAGATACCATTGGCCTCCTTGGCCACAAGGGCACATTGTTGTCCCATGGAGAACTTGTTGTCTACCAGGACTGCAAAGTCCTCCACAGAGCTGCTCTCCAGCAGATCCACCTCCAAGTCTGTCCTGGTGCTTTCTTGCCTGTGAGGGTGACAGAGCCCTGGGACAGGCTGCCCAGGGAGGTGGTGGAGTCTCCTTCTCTGGAGACTTTCAAGACCTGTTTGGATGCCTTTCTGAGGGACCTGCCCTAGTTCTGTGGGGGTTTTTGGTCCTGCTCTGGCAGGGGGGTTGGACTCGATGATCTTTGGAGATCCTTCCAACCCTGAACATTCTGTGATTCTTTGCCCTGGCTGCCCCACCACGGCAGCAACATCCATGTTGGATCTTCCATACCTCTAGATCTTGAGAAATTACACTGATGCATTTATTCCCCCCTACATCCTTCTTTTTTTAAAAAATCTTTTTTATTATTACTATTATTATCTCTGATTTTTTTAATATTATAACTGATTTGTACCATATTTGTCTCTGCTGCACACATCAATTGGGGCTGATTTCAATCTCAAGTGAGTATCACCTTCTAAATATTAAAACTATTTTAATATTTGATAC